GAAACTGAAAACCAGAATCAATTCAACTCTCAAGGCAAGATCATTTATACATCCTACCAGAGGAAAGACCATAAGATAATATGTTCCAGATTACAGCTCTCAAAACATCTCTCAAGAAATTATTCTCAAAGGTTACAACTTTGAAAACATTACTGAGGAAAAATGCTCTTGGTTCATTCAACTGTGCCCAAAATTTGTGAGAAATGTACACTTGAGAAAGAGACAAGGAAATAGGTGAATTAATTAATGAATGAGAAAAGGCCAATGTATTAATAGACCAATAAGAAATTAAAAACATTATAATTTTTAAAGTCTGTGAATGTAGATATGATTTAGGATTAATAGATAAAAGGTCTTAAAATGTAGATGTTACATTACTTTAGCATTTTGTTTTTCTCAGTTCCTATACTTTATATGGTCATGATTTGGGTTATGACAGGGTCAAAATAATAATTGCCCCAATAACTATGGTGGAAGTCCTGTTTCATACACTCATGTTTCCTGCAATGCCTGTCACACAGGATTCTCTAACACAGAAAGTAGTACAAGGGGGAGTGAATATCTGCATCCAACTAGTGAGTTTTTCCAGCTTTATCTTTCTTTGCTAAATTTTAACATTTGTAAAATTGAAGCCATCATAGATAGTATTTCAGTGGGACCTGTATCTCCACTTACTGAACTTGAGAATGGAAAATATTCCTTTGTGAATTTAGAAGACTGAGGGTCTAGTTTTAGCTCTGCCACTAATTAGCTGTATCACCTCTTCTTACCTTATTTCTTGCATCCTTAAGATAATGTCTTTCATCTTTAAAAGATAAGGATGGTAGACTGAGAAGAATTTTAGAGATTTGGGTTTCTTAATTTTGAAAATGTGGTACATATCCCTAAAGGGATTTCATACAGTGTACTTTTTTTTTTTTTTTTTTTTCGTAAAAACAGGTAAAATTATTTTGCCTTTTCAAAACCTATTTTATTCCTCCGCCTTTTGATATCTCTCTGCACTCCCAATCTCAAACCCCTCAGAGTTAAGAACCATTAATCTAACCCAATCAATTATTCCAGCCACCCCAGTGATACTTTTGAACCTGTCATTGTTTCTCACTGTCTGTTTACCTCCAGGTATCATCAGGAGTCATCTTTCATTTTTTACTGCATCCATTCTTACTTAGGTCCTATTACTTACTTAGGTCCCAATTACAGGGAGCTCTGGTAGTATAGTGCCTAAGGCACCTGACTGCTAACCAGAAGGCTGATGGTTCAAACCCACCAGCCACTCCTCAGAAGGAAGGTTGGGCAATCTACTTCCATAATGATACTGCCTCGGAAACCCAAGGAGGAGTCACTATGAGTTGGGCCTGACTTGACGGCACATAACAACAGCATAGTCACCCACTGTCCCATCATGGAAACCTTATCTAACATCAGCTTTGTAAAAATGAGCTCCAAGTATCTCACCTTTTTCTCTTCTCCTGCCCTTATCAAATTACTTCCAACCTCATTGGTCTGGCTTTCAGGGCCTTCCAGTATGTATGCTTTCAAGTACTTTTCTAGCCTTCTTTAATCAGTTTGCATGTGTATCCTGTGCTGTAGGCTAGATTACTCAGTACTGCCTGAAAATAACTCGTATTTTACCACTCAGGGCCTTTCCCTTCTCCTCTGCTGGTCAAAGCCCTACCCATCTCCAAAAACTTACCTCAACCACTTTCCCTGCCTCTCAAAACAGATATACTACTTTCCTTCTTTAAATCTCCATGAGTTTTTGTTTGTTTGTTTGTTTGTTTTTTAATGTACCTGTTGTACTTCAGTTACAGATAAAAGGTTCTTGAGGGTAGCAATCATACCTTAACTCACTGCCATCGAGTTGTTTCCGATTCATAGCAACCCCATTGGGTTTCCAAGGCTGTAAATCGCCCCCTCAGAGCAGCTGGTGGGTTTGAACCGCTGACCTTCTGCTTAGCAGTCAAGTGTCTTATCCACTACGCCACCAGAGCGTCTAACTGTATATGACCCAGAGATCCTAATGCAATGATGTTATGAAACTTTTGGCCATAGCCCATAATAAGTACATTTACATTGTCCATATACAGCATACCCATGTGTGTGTGTTTATTTAAAATGGAAACAAAACCTTCACAATATAATGCATATTCTTACTACATTTGAAGTACTCTTGTATTTTCTTTTCTGTTCTATTTCATTTCCTTTATTGCTGGTTCAGTTTTACAACCATTTGTCACAGTTGGAACATAATAAAACATTGCACATAATAGGTATACTATTATGTATGTTTAATTGAATTGAATGGAGTTTTTCGTGAATCACTAGAAATATTACTGATTTGTGAATGTATTCAATTAATCAATTTAGATATACTATGTCTATTTAGATTTTACTTTCACAAAGTCATCTTTTGCATTCTTAAAGTATGCTGTTTTGCTTTTACTTATACATTCATGAGCAAACTGATCTGAGAAATCAAATGCAGTTCATTTTTATCCAT